GCCCCCTCCCACCCCCTATTAACCAACATGGTCCAGCTCCCTGCAGCGGCGACTGGGGACTGCCCGAATCGCCAAATCTCTGAACCTCCGAACCTCCTCCGAATCTTTTCCTGAATCTATTCAGAGGCTTCAGATTGATTCAGACCTTTTTACTGGTCTCTCAATTCTTTTTGCATTCAGAGATTTGGCCACCAAATTGGGCTGAATCTCCTCTGAATTGAATTAGCATCCGAAGCTTTGCATAGCCTTAATAGTCACCTAACACTTGGAATATCTACTTGATCAAAGGAGATATCAGTGCACAATCAGATCCATTTTGATAATCACAGGGCAATTTCCATCAGCTTCTCCACTCAAACTACTACTCAGCAGCATAGCACAGGTGAGTGTGCAGTTTGTAACAGTGAATATGTCTGATCCCAAGAGTAATTGCTTTAAATAATATTCTAAATGTTGTTGTATCTGCTCAAAGAGAACTATTAATGTGTTGAAAACAAATTAAGATGAATTGTCCAAGGATCAAAACCAAAGAAAGAAGGAACTACCTAACCAACAGAGTCATTTAAATTTGCCCAAAAAGACATATGTTCAAAAGAAGTATAATGGAATGGAAGGTTTGAAAGCCACAGGCCCAGGATGTATTTGCTTTAACCCCAAAACTTATCTTATGAAGCTACAGCGAGCAGTTTTAAAATGGTACCTTTAAATGCTTACTTTCTTAACTGTATGAACTGTTATGAATTAATTTGGGTCATTAGAAAAAATATTTAAATAAACCCAAATAGAAATAATTAAATACGTTTTCACTGCTGGAGTACAAAGTTAATGCTTAATCTGATATATTTTAAACTGTTATGTAGTTACAAACACACTGGTTTTGCATAGCAAACTGTATTTTATTTTACTGTGATGAACAAACTTTATTTTACAAAATGTATGTTCAAATATTTTTCAATTTTGCTAATCTTTAGCATGATGTAAACAATTTCAATTAGTCCTTAAAGACTACATTAATTGATCAAGGTACTCTTCCTTAAAATACAGATGACAATTTATGTCTTAAAATGTGAATCAATATTGTGCATTAATTTGCAGTTCTCAAGCAAAATATTCTAAGTAAGAAAAGCCACATAATTTATGTTCTTATTCTTTTTATAAAATTGTAAACTAAATAAAGATGACTATTCAAGTTATTTTATTCTTATTTTGGGAACATATTAAATATTTTCAGGCAAAAAACCCACAGAAGTTGGCATCTAATGGCATTTTCCAATAAATAAGTGATCTTAAGGTAATTTTAAAAGCCGGGAAAATGTGTGCTTTGTTAAAATCAACTATAGTGGTTTGTATTCCCTCTTATACGTAATACTGCATCATAAACAAACAACTCTGTTACAGATGATGAACATTTTACAGCATGTATTTAAATGCCCTCCAAATCTTTTCATGATTTTTTTTAAATCTCCACTTAAAATAGTTAAAGCCTTAACACTGTCACATTAATTACCATATAAAGCATATTTTTACTTTAAACTTTAAAAAACTATTGTAAATATTTCAGCTGCACTAGAAAAGCCAAAAACCTTATTTGTTACAATAGAAAAACAGGATCTCATTTCCATAATTATTTAATAAGTATGTAGAATGAAATGTTAATGATCTATTTGATAATATTACTCAGGAAATACCAAATCAACCATGACTAACCCATGAAAATCTCAATTTCTGCCAATGACCTTCGTACTGATTATGGGTTCATTGTTTTACAACACTACTCCCAGAAGATTGTATTTTTGGAGATAAAGCTTTCAAGAAACTAATAGATTCTTTGTTGTCAGCAAGGCATTTTTGTTTTACAGTGGGATTTGGAAGTATATTGATGGCATTTGTCTTTGCATTTCATAGGAAATAATCACCCAGTCAAACACTTGACGATTTTTACTTTACTCCTGGGAAAATCAGGGCCTGTACATTAAATAAAGGAATGTAGGAGTGTTATTTTCTACCCACCTTCTTTTGCCATTTCAAAAGCTTTTATTAGAGTTTTGATGGCCTGTTGGTGTTCTTTATTTTCTAGCATTTTGTCTGCGAGTAATGTGTAAATTCTCCAGAGATGCTCACAGGCCAGTGAGTTGTAAGTATGGCTTGTCTCATCCTTCCATATCCGCCCTACTGTCAGTTGATAGAATGCTTCATAATGCTTAGCAGCTTTCATGAACTGACCTGGAAAACACAAGTCATTCATAAATATAATCAGTATATTTCACAAAATATTACAAAACATTTTTGCATGCAGTCCTTTTCTTTCACAAAATTGTCAATACACTTTAATCCATAATTTAGTACTTAGAAAAAATATTTTAAATTTTACAGGTATCCATAAGTCTTCCTTATCTTCAATATCCTTATATTCCCAGTCACAACCAAGCTATATATTTTTTGCGAGTAAATGGAAGTTTTAGTGGATTGCCAATGCAGATCCACATTGTTGTGTTACATTTTGATTAGCAGTTGAAGTCAGAATCTTATACAAAGTAGAAACCCTTAACTATATATATAAAGGAGCACAATTCAAACTACTCTTCAGTTCCTTTCCCTATAATCAGAACATACACTTATAGATTGTGAAGGAGATGGGCAGAAATGTGAAGAACAGATTTTTTTCAGATGATAGGTTCATTCTCTATTCAAGTGAATAGACTATTTGATGAAAAATGAGTTAATGTTTTCTTCATGTGATATATCTCCATATGCACACATAACCTAGTCATTTCCAATGAGTGTAGGTATCTCAGGCTAGTATATAAAGTCCCTCCCTAATTTATATAGATTAGTGTAACCTGGGTAAACAGGGGAAAGCCTGAGTAAATAGAGTGTGAATAGAAAAAAGAATTTATAGTCTGGACAAAGTACTATCACACCCAATGAATGCCATATAGCAAGAATCAGTCATCAGTGCTTGTACTTTGTTTTGGAAAATAGGGGATAAAAGGGGACCATCTCAAAGAAATTCAAGCACGTAACTTCAGTAGGTTCTATAGTAGAATGCAAGTCCCAAGTAAGATTAGGTTCATAAATAGGTGGAAAGAAGTACGGTATATTAGTTCTGTCACACACTTCATTTGTTGGATGTCTGAAGACAGAAGATACCAGGTTGATACAGCTACAAAATGAATTTTAAATGTGACCAAGATCAATTCAGAGAATTTGAAAATATTACACTCCTGATTATATTAGACCAGACAGAGGAAGACTTACTAAAACCGTAAGAAAAACTATCTTCCCATTTTGAAACATGAGTCTTCCTTGAGGGAACTTTACATCATCTAACACAGTGCAGTTAACTGCTCAGGGACAATTCATTTCAACAGGGTTACACAGTTGAAGCTACTAGGCTCAGATCATGGATTTGGATAGAGAAATTGTTACTTAACTGTTTGTTTGATAAAGAAATAGATATGCTATAAGATGTTGATGGAAGAGACTGCCAGACATACATAGTATGATTCTAGTGAAACTGAAAAAACTTCTACTAAGGAAGTTCTACTACCTCTCACATCTAAATCATCTAGGGATATGAATTATCTTTAGCATACCTATTTCATCTTAGACTCAAAAATGCTGTCTCTTAAAGGGACAGATTCAGATGGCTTTAAAGAATATACACAAAAGCCTTTTAGACCTTTCAACGGCCTTACAGGAATGGTTGGAGGTATAGAATGAGATGATTCTGTTGTCCCATTCTCCCTCATTTTTTGAGGGATTGCCTTGAGACAATTCCCGACAGGGTGGAAATTGAAGTAATATATTCCACTAGCCCTGCGGTTCTTGAAGTTGAACTAGCCATAAGAGCCTTGACCTGATATTCTTTTTGCCAGAACTCAGTAAAGACTCTTTAGAGAACAATCTATCTACATCAAGCATCAACATATGGAGGCAGTCTGCGCTTTCTGGTATCATTCAAATGGAATTAGGTGAAAATATGTCTAAATGTAGTTCTCCTGCAGACACAACTACAGCAGCCAAGATTGTGAAATCCTAAGAATTAATTAGAGTGAGTTGTTAAATGGGCACTAACTTCCTATAAAAGGGAAACACATAATTTTTTACCTGCAAAAGAACTAACTGATCAGGGATCTGACTACCTGAGATTGTTCTGTACAGTACTGCCATACTTTTGCAATACCCCAGGATCTTTAAAATAGACTCCTTTTGGATTACAGGAGATGCAGTTACTGGGAACATATTTGAAATTTTTACTCCAGAATAATTGGAAATTGCCTATCTTTGGGACAAGCCAGACGGTCCACTTGTTCTCCCAAGCATTAGAGTCCTTTGGAAAAATAAAATCTTTAGGGGGATGGAGGATTCGTTTATCCATTCTGTCTACCTAGTTGATTTAGTTTGACTTGGAGTGACTCCAGAATTTTAATTTTTCACTTTTTTTTAATTTCAATATTTGCATAAGTACCTAGAGCAAGTGGATAGAGACATTTGTATTTTAAAACAAACTAAATTAAATAAACATAATTGGAGAAGGAATAAAGCTGGTTATAAATGACCTTTGGATTAAAAGTTAGGGTTATTTTAGATCAACTGTACAGTACATTTATAATGATTTCTACTATCATTTGAGGGAGAGAGACAAAGAGGAAGAATACTGTGTGGGAGTGATCATCAGGAATATTTTATGGAAGGTAAAGGACATCCCATATATCTCTCCCAGATTCCCCAGAGGAAAATGACTGTTTTCAAAAAATCTATAGCATACATTTTCAAAATATTATATATGAAAATTATAGCTATTTTTTATTATTATCATTAGTAACAGTGTCTGCACATTTAATATCCCCAAGTAATATGCTCAGAAATTATCCCAGTGTATCCTAAACTTGAAATTTTAGAAATATTTATTCTTCTATTCATTAGTCAAAGAAGTCAAACACACAAATATAATTTTCACAAAATATATAGCACTACTGCAAAAATATTATAATTTAATGGGACCCCAGGACACAGCATCAAAAAAAGCTATCAGTAATCAATTCATCTTAATAATGGGAATGAAATGGTGTAACTACATACCTTTTACAGTAGGAGACCCATTCTAAACAATTATATTAATACAAAGACATCATTCATCCACTCAGTGTATTAAAGATAATAAATCATTCCTATTTTCATAGTAGTTGGAGACATATGCACTAAGATTTGTACTAGTTTTTCAGTGAAAAGAAAGTGCACTGTTTGAACAGAAACTATTAGAGTTAGAGTTTGCCTAAAGCCCACAAAAACAGATTGTATCCATTCACTTAAAAAGCAAGAGTTCAGTGTAATGTGAATTTAACAGAGAAACAGTCCTATATTTCTGAATATTATCCAAAACTTCCTTTACAACTTCCCTTCCTATAGAACAGTTCAAAAGCATACATTTATTATATCAAAGCAGATATCTTAGACAAATGTTAACCAAAAAAGAATACATATGATGACTACCATTTTGCTTTTTTTTAAGTAGAAAGATTGACTAGATATTAACACAAATGGGTTTAAATGTGAAGCTGCCATAAAAGCAGGCACATAAATGTAATTCTCCCAGCCGCTATTTTGATGCACATTTTTGATTCCATGAATATTTTATGAAATGGCCCAAACTAAAGCCATATAACATTCCTGCATTACTGATGCTTGCGCCCGTAAGCTACAAACATTAGAGGCATGATTGAGTGCATTAAAATGAACTCATTCAGCAGTGCATTGATTACTTGAAGGAGAAAAAACAGAAGAGTTACTCCCACTTAAGAAAACAGCATACCAATCTGAAGTTTTCAATATAGAAATTAGAGATAGCAAGTTTGAATAATATGATATTTAATAAATAAATAAAGTCTGAATCTGTCTAGAGGTCTGCACATACAGACCTGACATTAATTAGGTGGGATGTTAATTAGGTCCAAAGATTGCTTCCAGTATTGTACAGGTAATTTAAAATGTCACAATCTGTAAAATGCACTGACTGACCTGTTCTAGCTCCATGCCTCAGCAATATTGAGAGTACCTAATTATTTCCTTTTCTATCAGCTTGTACATTTACCAATGAAAATAATGCAGCAGAAACGATCATATGAAAAAAGCTGACAGGTCTATAAGGCACAGTTCTTCAACAGCACAAGTATATGTAGAAAGCACATTTAGTTCTAAATTGTAAACATTTGTTGAGGAGTTTAGCAAAATATTCCACTTTATTTAAAAACAACGACCTAACAAAACAATAACACTTTATATTATATTACATTTTAATCTAAAACTACTGGACATCTTTTTAAATAAATTATTACACTATGCAATGTGGATATAAAATCTGCTAGAAGCAATATTTAATGGTAGCAAAAAAAAGAAAAATATTATTACCATTTTTAAAAGATATTTGCTTCTTTTCAGTTTAACTGCTTGAATATTTGCATTATTTTTAGCCTCCTACTTTCAATTATTATAATTATGGTAGCAGTATTCATGCTGAAATAGTTAAGAATATGTCATAGTTTTTAATGTAAGCCACTATTTACAGGGGTTTTATAAGTCTGCATTGGAAATATGTTGAGAGCTCGAATAAACAGTTGACAAAATAATAAAATAAGGTCCTCATTCAGCAAATAGATATGCTAGCCTAGACTGAGGTAAAATGGATTGCACAGATTTTAGTGGAATTCCTGTTATGTACAAGAACCTATGTTCATATATCTAAGAGCAGGGCAAAAATGTATTTTTCCCCCTTTTTTAGTTTTCATCTTCCCTATGTCCCAAAAAAGCAATTTTTGACAGTACTGTGGAGAAAGAAAACTTTGCAAATTCAGAAAAAATGAGTGATTTTGGTTTTACAATAAGTTAATCATGAGCAACTTATACTACTTAAGATTTTATAAGGATTTTTAGTAGGCAGAATCATTTAGGCTCCTAAGGATACTGTAATACAACATGATGGCTCCTCACTAAGCACTGCCAGCATACCTTCCAGTTCAACCACAAAAAAGTAGAACTCTCTACTGTGCTCCATAGCACAGGAAGACAAAGGACTTCCTGTGGTCTGAAATGTTCAAGCCTGGGGGCCTGGGAGTTGACAGTACAGACAAGGTTGGGCATTAACTGTCCTGGGAGCTGGCCTTGTTGTAGGACTGAGACTATTTGCAGGGGAAACAAGGAAATCTTCAAAAAGGATGATGATG